TAATTTTCTTGTATTACTATAGAACTGGCAGAATTTACACTAGATATGAATTCATCATGGTGATGATTTGCAGGATAAAAGAATATGGCAAGTAGACTTCACACTGTAACTACAACATGTGATTTAGGAACAAGACCCTGAGCTTTAACAAATGGGTTCTCTAAGCCCAAACCACCAATTTCAAAATTATACTGTACAACATGTTGGGTTTCATGCATGGGAAATCTGGTACCTTCATTGAAGGGAATAAATTTAGGGGTGACTTTGATAAGTTCGCACATGGACTTTTTTACCTCTCATAATATATAAATTTTGAAATTTAAGTATGTGTATGTATACCTATGCATATGTATGCATATACATGCACACACATTAGCATCCCTATAATAAACCTTAGGAAGGTGACTACATAGAAAAGTGAAGTGCCAGTCCTAAAATATCTTTTACTGGTATATACAAGGTGCCAAGATTGTATTTGTTCAAGGAGAAAAAAATTTTGTTTTTTTCAATGGATCCTCTGACTCAAACACCAAAACCAGCCCAGGCTATTCTAGATTTAAAGCCACGATATTAGACATAGCCCCGTTATGAAGGCTGACCCTGCCTAAACTCTGAAGGAGACTTAATAATCAGATTTTATCCACTACTGATGTAAGATTAGCAATTAAGAAAGTTTTCTCATCCTTACCAATGAACATTAGACTGAAAATATCTAAATTGCTCATAATTAATAGTTTTAAAATGGATGTTTTACAAAACCTGGATTTCATGCCTTAAATATGATTATGATAAAGAATGAGTTTCAGCAACTGTCCCTGCTAAGAAACAGTGAACAGGGCGGGCCTGTCCCACATTCAGGCATTTCATCAATCCCTCATTAGAAGGATCCTGCCTTCAATGGGCACATCAGCCCTCAGATTCAAGAAGGCAGCATTTTATATGAACTATTTATCTGCGGAGCCAAATTAGCTTGATTGACAAGTTGTGTCTAGTTAAAGAAGCTACGGGATCTTCCATGATGAGAAATTTCCTAGCCTAAAAAATTCTCTCTCGGGACTCTGCAATAATGCTTGTATTTAATGATCACCACGTTGAAGCCATTTCCATTCATTTTCACCCAATCAGAGTCCTCAAGCCCCTAACTCCAGACAGGGGTGAACCGCCTGGCCTTCCTGCTCAGTCCCAGGTGAGCACCAACAGAACACAGTTCCTCCCTTGCCTCTACTGGTTAGCAGTTGGGACTGCGGGGTCCGGGCCTCTTGGTCTAGCAGAAGCTTTAGATGAAGAGATGACTTCCCCCTGGATACTGAGATGCTGAGCTCCACACAGAGAGGTCCACAAGCTACAGCTTTCAACCTACAAAGGTCTCCGGGTTCAGAACGCTGGTTAAACAAAGGTCAAGGAGAGAAGAGTGTTAGTTTCTGAGGAGGCAACATCCTAAAGCTTGCAGCTCCCTAACTAGGGGGGGGGAACAGACTTGGGGCAAGGGGTGCAGGACACTGGTGGGATGTCCCCAGCAGTTACATACGATGTGTTGCCACAATCTTCCTCTGGCCTGGGGACATCCCATGTATCTAAAATTTACCTAAAATGTGTCGGATTTAGAGACTGTTGGGGTGATTGTACTTTGAAAGGAATTAGATCACCTAATGTAGGGGCTGACAAACTTTTTCTGTAAAGAGCCAGACAGTCACTATTTTAGGATTTGCGGACCATACAGTCTCTGACATAATTACCAATCTCTGCTTGTAGCATGTAAACAGCCACAGACAACATGGAAGTGAATGGGAATGGCTGTGTTCTAATGAAACTTGACTAATAAAATCAAGCGGCGGGTCAGATTCAGCCCAGGGGCTGTAGTTTGCCAGCCCTGAATCTACACAATTGAATCCAGTCAACAGAGACTCCTGACAACAAACTTCAAGTGTCAGAGCACTTGAAGTTATAATGTTTTATTCTGATGGCTCCTCAAAATCCTTCTCCTACCTTCCAGAGTCACCCTGATCTTTTTTAGTGGAATTAATTAGGAGCCCCTCCCATTGCCTTAGTAAAGTCAAATATCAAAAATTCAAAATATGAATCTGTATCAGTTACAGCCGGGGAAGAAGCAGACAAGACAAAAATCTGCATACAGGCCACTTGGAAGGGGCTGTGTCCTTCATGAACTCTGATCAAGAGAGAGAACTTCAACAAACAGCAATTCCAACAGAGCAGTGCCTTCTGGGAAAAAAAAATTTTTTTTGAATCACTAGAAACACCAGAATTGTAAAGAAAATGAGGTTACCTATGTTGTCATTCACAGAGTCACCACTCTGCAAATAAATACTGGTGTGTTTTGTTCCAGCCCACCCTGCCTCGGGGAGAACAGACATGCACAGCTTGGACGTAGAAAACAGGCTTCCCCGAGAGGCTAAGGAAAGCTCTGATGAGAGATGACTCTTGAATGCCCAGAAATCTTGGAAATGAAGATGCCCGATTCCCTCTGCATTCAGCTATTTGATTTGGCATGGGCAGAAATAAAGTGGTGATAGCAATTTGTAAATTGGCCTATTTCACAGTGCGGCAGGAGGAAGGACTTTATCTAGAAGCCGCAGCCTACTTGGGCAAGGACACTTTCTAAGACAGCCACGTGGGACATAAAGGCTAACTCAGCAGCGACGAAAGCCCTGCGCCTGTCTTCAGCCTCTTTTCTTTAAACCTGATACCACCACTGCGGCAGAGTGAAAGTAATTTGCAAGGATTTGATTGCCTGGAATGCTCAGTACAATATTATTTTAAAAATTAAGAATAAAAACCTTCAGCACTCACCTAGATTTATGCTTCTGAAGAGTGGAGAACGGAATGGCAGTGTTAAAGGCGATTTCTGAGGGAAGGGTGGGGCTGGGGAAATAGCAGCCGTGACTGAACAGAGAGAGCTGGTGTACCTACGACCTTCCCTAACATCCCTTCCTTTCTCCCTGAGCTCACAACTGGCCACCATATCTGTCGGGACCACAGACGCCTGCTTGCAGTGTCCACAAAATGGGTTATGGACATCAAGAAAGAAGAGTCTTCAAAGGGACATGGGAGCTGTGAAGAGGCACAGAGTCCAGGGTTTTCCTCAAAGAGGTTCGAGGTCCCTTCTGATCAACACCACACTTATCCCCCTGCTTAGATTCTCCTCCTCCTCTTCAATCATGATTAAACATCCAACTCAACATCGTTCTTTGTATGAACTTACTCGATTAGTCCAGGATTACAATGTCATAAGCCTGATGCAAATCCCTGACAGAGCATTAGCCATATCAGAAGTTCTATCACAAAACATCAGACAAAGTATAAACATCATGCCAAAAATCAGCAGTAATCACACATCTAACTAAACAAAAAGCAGACTAGGCAGAAGAGTGTAGGAATGAAACCTTAGTCGATTTTCTGGTTAACTAAGTGTTAAATAAAAAGGTTTTTTTTTTGTTTTTTTTTTACTTAAGTGGTTGTTTTTTCTTAATTTTGCTACATGAATTGATTTGTCATCACCTTCACATAACAGTAGTCAGTGCAATAAACACAATGTATTTTTTCTTCGATGACAGAGGATCTAGCCATTACTTTTAATACAGTGTCATCAGTTTGATTACCAATGATAACTATATAGAACTCATCCCAAAACAAACTCAGAAAATTGTGCTGAACATATTCTGAGACCAGGGTGAGGCCTGCGATTTGATTTTAAATAAATGTTTTCAAATAAACAAACTCCATTTGCTTCTTTGCCTTTACAGACAAGTGCAGTCACAAGTTCTGCTCAGAGAGTGTAGCTCATTAGAGTGTAGATCCTGCACAATAACTAATCCTCTAACTTGTGTTTTCACCTCCTGAGCGTGAGCTGATGATGCTACGGAATGGTTCTGGGGGTTCAAGAAGGGGTTACTAAAAATGAAGAAAGAGGAAAGAGAGAGCAGGACATGAACAAAGGGGTAAGAAAGAGAAGATCGACAAGGGAGGGGCTTTGGACGTAGGAGTGATCAAAGGACAGAGAGAAAGAACCTGCTATAATAGAAGACAGCTGAGTGCAATCCCATTTTTTGTCTCCATAAATTAAGATGCATATCCTTACTCAGAGCAGTTGGTTCTTACAGATCCCGATATTGACGTAAATGGACAAAGACAAAGTAGGAGTGAAATCCTATGGAGAGTTACTGTACAAGCTTCTGCTTTGCCGCTACTTCCCTAACCGCCCGTGATGCTAAGGGCAGAACACCCCTTCAGCCACCGACCTCATGATGGTCACTGTGATTAAACACCAGCAATTAGGAGGGTTAATTTACAGGTTAAGACATGCACTAATTGTCCAACTTTATAAAGAAATGACATCCTTGACCCAAAGGAAAATTATATTCTCAATGACCAACTGAAACCTGCAGTATCCTTAGTAACAAAATCATAATACATCACTGTTCCCCATTATTCCACTAACCCCATGGTCGGCAAACTGCAGCTCGCGAGCCACATGCGGCTCTTTGGCCCCCCTGAGTATGGCTCTTCCACGGCCTGGGCGAATCTATTTTGAAGAAGTGGCATTAGAAGAAGTTTAAGTTTAAAAACTTTGGCTCTCAAAAGAAATTTCAATCGTTGTACTGTTGATATTTGGCTCTGTTGACTAATGAGTTTGCCAACCACTGCACTAGCCAATCAATTTCGGTTTCAACAACTCAAGTAATTGGAATATGTCCGTACCCCACACAGACCAGGCCAGAAACTCTCAGGGGGAGACTGTTGTCTCTAACCATTGAACACCAAACTAACCACGATCTTTGGCTGAATGTGCATCTTTCACAGAAGACAAGGTCAGCCCCTCCACAGCCTTTCGTGGTAACACTGGGACTTTAAAAGAGAGCAGGATTTTAACTAAGCAATAGCTGAAATGCTATAGATACATTTTTAAATTATAGAATCACTATGTAAGATTTCATTAAAGCAATAATAATAATAATAAAAACAACTGTAAATAAGTGGCCTACCTATTCCTGAGTTAGCTCCAGTAACTACAACCACTTTGCCAGTGAAGTCCCGACCCTGGAGTATTTCCATGGCTGTGGTGCTGCCATCGTATCTCTGTCTGTTGGTTGGCTTTGTAGGATTATCATCCACAGTAAATGCCAATCTTGGGTCCAAATAGGTAGTTCTTTTATTTATATGGCTGCAAAGAAAGGGAAAAAGCATGACCCCACAGCAGTGAACACAGGCATTTGTAAGTGTAAGATAACGTTACAGTTTAGGCTAGAAAAACCCCATTCTTCATGTTCTAAGACGGCTTATTCTTAAGCTCAGAAAGAACTGAAGTCCATGTAGTCTATCTTCTGGCCTCAAGAACAACTACATCCCTGCTGGAAAGAGAGTCATCTACTCCTTTCTTTCAGAACTGCCTATAAAATATGCTGTAACACACACTATGCATTGCCTTGTACCCTTAAAATCTCAAGAGAAGAAGGCTTTAAGTTTGTTTTTAATTCATGTAAATGTGGCTATAAGATCTGTCACTCTTTTTAGTAGATTTCAATTAAATCTTTTGGCCCTGTGCAAGGGCCTAAGAAGATTGGCAGAGAAATAGAAAACACAAAATGGTAAGTCTCAACAGTAAACGTGAAACTGATCAACTACTAAATTTCTAAAGATTTTCCTTTTAAGACTGTACTCATGCCTCCTACCAGCACTCTAATTTTGATTTGGAACTGATCTCAATATTGTAGAAACAATATTAAAATATATTTGGGACAGATGGATTAACAGGTTACTCCTTATGTAAAGTATTTATTGCATTTTAAATTCTTGGGATTTGAGCTAAAGACACCAAAAACTGTAAAAACTAGCAAGAACTTTCAGAAAGAGATGAGATTTCATGATTTGTAAAAGTAAATATAGTTTTATAACTATACTTATCATCCTATAAATACTAAGGCCCAAGAATAATCCAACTTTCATTGTAATTATAGCCATAGCTGCCAGGTAAGCGTTTGCACTCCAATGTTGCACGCAGACAGCAGAGCGGTGCTATGCTGGACCCAGTTCACATGGGCTTGCAAGAGCCCAATGTGCATAAATCTCTCTCCCCAGCTCCTTGGTGACTTCAACTGGGGAGCTTGCACCAGGCTGCGGTGAAAGTATTTACACCGTGGTAACAAATCTGGACTTTCCCGCCAGAGAGCTGTGTTAACATGAGCCAGTACACCACTCCAGCAGCCCCAGGGAGGTAAGATGACCAGCCAGGGCAGCCCGGGGCCGGCTTGCCTCCCTTGGGGCAGGGTGGGGATTGAATGAGCCACTACTACAGGTATAAGGTGACTAGAATCACGCCTGGCTCACACAATGTGCTAGACCCCGGTGGTTACTACTATTGTTTGTTATGGGAATTTACTCTAAAGAGAGTTTTACAGATAAGAAATGTTCAAAACATTATTTATAGGTACAGCTGCCCAGTAATAGGAACTGAACAACACCACTGCCCATTCTCTCTACAAAATAATACTCTATAGCCATTAAACATTTTCTTGAAAAATATATAAGGATATGTGAGAATGCTCACAAATACATTCCGTGGAAAAACGGGCTACTAAGCAGTTCACAAAGTACATTTCCTTTTTTTTTTTTTTTTTTTTTTTTTTTAAGAAGGTGTGTGTATATAAAACAGAGCGGATGAATAAATGCAAAAATTGTAAAAGTAGTTATTCCTGTTACGATTACATCATATATTGTGCCATATTTTTCTACAGTCAATGTATATTATTTTTATGATAAAAACATTTAAAAGTAAAATGGCTGAGAACAGTTCCTATGTAGACACTTACTCGACAAAATACACTTGTCCATTCTCATCCGTTTCCTGCTCCCATCCATATGGCAAATCTGAAACACAGGGAAGACTGAAGTCTACACGAGGTAGGGGTGGGGTGAACTGGGCAGGAAAGACCGAAGTCTACACGAGGTAGGGGCGGGGTGAACTGGGCAGGGTCCTCCTGGTCCGGAGAGAGGCCGTGCCCCTGAAGCCTGTGCCATCAGGCCACACCTGGGTCACGTGTTCCCATTGTGGCAGATGCTGAAGGCCCAACTGCCCAAAGGGACTCCACGTGGCTGCCTCTGGCTCAGAAATAAAACTCTTATAGACTCTCCACTCAGCTTCAGCTCCTGCTTTTGATGAGGACTTTACTGGTTGCTCCAGTCAATGTGAATTCTCCCTTGAATGAATTCACAGAATGTATCTTATTCAATATAAAAGTTCCATTGTTTTTTCCCATCGGTACATACTATCTCTTCAACTAGATCTTCTTATACCTCTATTCCGTGGGTGACACACTTCTTCAAAAGCACCCATAAGTCATGGCGATCTTGATGGAATCCCATCAAACGTTGGTATATTTAATTCCACAGCAGGCACCAAGAACAAGTTTTCAACCAGTGCAGCTATAAGAAAATCTAATAAACTGTGAGTCAAAGGCCTCTACTGTTGTTATGCTTTTTAATTTAAGTCCAGTAAGAAATCATCCTCACCACTCCACCCAAAGACCTCATCACCTCCTTCTGCCAAGTCCCACAAGCTCCTGGGAGTGAGAGTCCAGCTCCTGCTGGCTCGCTATCAGAGGACCTTCCCAGAATGACACAGTGACCTGTCACCTCCCTGCCCGGGATGTTCTCTTATCTAATTAAAGCTTTACATTCAAAGGGCTTTGCTTTATGACCTCAAAAATACAAACCTCCTGCTATTCGTTTTCTTTTTCCAGTTTTCGGATGTTCCCATTGAGTCTTCTCTTCAGTGTGACTATTAAAAAATTTCACAAAACAACAATAAGTAAAAGTTATACTTCTAAAAATTAATTCATTGCATTAAATTTCTTCTCTCCCAGATAATACTATCTCTTGAGAGCAGGAAATTTACATTCAGGAAGAAATAGAACATAAATGTTACTGTTTGCATCAAGTCAAATTCCCTAGATTGGGAGAAGCAGCGATCTGTGGAAATGTCCTGAAAGCCTGTTTTACACACTGGCTGGAGGGCAAGGGAGGGAAGGAGGGAGGGAGGGAGGGAGGGAGGGAGGGAAGGAGGGAGGGAGGGAGGACCACAACTTCAGTGTTAGGAAGCCAGCTCAGTCACTATAAGTATCTAGAGAGGAGTTCTGTTTTAGATTTGTTTTAGTTTTATTCCAGAGTAGATTGACAAACTTCAATCAAATCCATAATGCTGATATTTAGATACTTAGATATAACTGTAATCTCCTTAATGTTTATTCTTCTCACAGATATAATTTCAAAGTGTTTTTTAACTACTGATTCCTCATTGCTCCCAAGAGGTAATTAAGAGTGCACAGGTCACCGAGCTGTGTGCCTTAGGTCAGAGTTACTCAGCCTCCGGACCTCAACTTCCTCTTCTGCAAAAGGGAAATAATCCCAGCACTGAGCTCTGGGGAATGTTAGAAGAATGCTGCATACAAAGGGTTAAACACACTACCTGGCATATCAGAAGCCCTCAAAAGTGTTAGCTACTATTTTAAACAAATCAAGTATATAAACTAGTCTGATCTCGGTGTCAAATTTAGCATTTCATCTCAGAAATGCACACAAAGTTATAATTAAAATCAAAAGCCAACAACAGACTAGACACCTGTCATTAGGTGATAAAGTATAAAGGAAAACACAAAATTACTTAATCAGGGAAACAGATGGATGTTTCAAGAGTCAATCAAAGGGGAGGATGATTTCCTAAGTTCACATCCCCCTGCCAAAGGAGAAAATATTTAACATTAGAATATTCCTTCCCTATCACTTATTTGAAAGAGAATAAGTATGGAGAGCATAAACTTGCTGTAAAATTTTACAGGTTGAAAGCAAGTTCTTTTCAGGCCTTGTTGGTATAAAATCTGTGTGGCCGGTGCAGGGATAGCATGGACTCTGGGCTCAGAGGCAGACCTGAGCTCCTGTGCCACCTGCATCTAGTCAGCCAGGCCCCCTGGCCACTCACTCATGTCAAGGAGACACCAGACCTGCAATATTGATTGGTGACTGATTAATCTAATGTACAAGCAAAGGGTATCTGTATCAAGGACCAGCTCCTACTTGTCTGTACATGAGCATCATCAAATCCTACTTGCAAAAACGGAAGCCCGGACTCCCTGGTAAGGATAACCTGCCCCTCGCTGACAGGACCCCTGCTTCTTGCAAACTAAGGGAACAGCAATCAGATAAACCAAACACTGGCCACAATATAAAACCTTTCTGCTCTTGGCTTTGCCTGCCTCGTGCTTCTTTGGGGAAATTTACAGATGGGATCGCATTTTCCTTTGTCTGACATTAAAAGTACTTGTCATCCCACAGGCACATATCAAATGAGCCTGGAACCCAGCTCTAAAGCATCTGCCCTCAGGAGAGGAATGCTGACACTCTGTGGCATCCAGATGACCCCTCAGGCACCCAGCCCCGCCTGGCTGATAGGAGGTGCTCAAATGTAAGCATGTGGAACGAACGAAGGCTTTCCCAAGAAGGTGAAACATTCACTCAAAACACCGTTTTCTCCTATCCTGAGAAATATTTTTAAAAAATAAAATAAACATTATCATGCCATCTTCTCCACTTTGACAGAAAATGCCTAAGCCAGGGCTTCTGACACTCACACTCTGGCCACATGGGCTGGATGGCTCTTGGTTGTGGGGCCGTCCAGTGCATTGTGGGATGATTAGCAGCTTCCCTGGTCTCCACCCACTAGATGCCAATACACCCTCCCAGTAACTGTCTCCAGACACCACAGTGACTGGTGGGAGGACCCTGGGCCCAGCTGAGGTGAAGACAGTGTGGCTTTGGTGGTGAGGATTCCAGAGGCAGAGGCCCATGTGTTCTGGCTCTCCCATGCACCAGCCGCACGCCCGTGGAGGATAGTTAGCCTTCCTGTGCCTTATTTCCGCATCAGTAAGATGAGGATAATAGCAGCACCCACTTCTTGAGGTTAAAGTAAACTGAATGAGTTAACCCCTACGAGCCATACCTTTCACATAGAAGTATTAAATTAATACTTACATATAAAAATTAAAGTGCTCTTTTTAACGATAACCTAAAGTGACTTTTTAATGCCCCAAGAAACTATGACACATGTGTTATCTTATTCTCCCTTAAACAGAAGCCCTCTCTTATTTTTCTTTCATTAAGCTTTTTGTCATTTAAAAAGATAATTAACAGTTATCTTTAGATATTGCATGGCCCTGTTGCAATGGGAGGAAGACAGTTGGGAAACAGGAACTACCTGAAGGACAGGCTTCTATTAGCCCAGTAGTGAAGGCTCCCAAACCCCAGGAGAAAGACAAGTGACCCAAAGTTCAGAGGGGAAATAAGAGTCAGGATGCTTGCAGGTCAGGAGAGATCAAGTGGACTGCTGAGAATCCAGGGGTAGGACTGGTCCGAGACATCCTTCAGCCCTGAGAGCCAAGGAACAGAGGTTCTGGAGAGAAGGGAGCCAGCTGGGAGCCAGCCATGTCTGGTCACTAGTCAGGGTAAGCACTGGGGCCAGACTGGCCAGTGGGAGACCTAAAACAATGGTGGGAGCTAAGGGGTGGCTTTTCAGAGAACACGTAGGTGTTCCCTGAGACCCTCCCTCCTTCCCCCCCCGCCCCTCTCAGAGGAGCTGGCTGGCATGTACAGATCGTATTTCATGAAAGAAGAGCCCCAAGTCCAGACACCATGTAGGAAGGAAGCAAGTGGGAAAGGCCACAGGGAAAGGGGCAAGGGGACAAGGCAGGGTGAGCACATGGGGAACCTGCAGACCTAACACCAGGCTCCAGGCAAACCAGAAGGGAAGTCAGGAACCTGAGGGAAGGGGCCAGAACAGGGACAGGCCCCACAGAAGAGCAGGAGGAGGGCCGGAAAACAGGAAACGGTTGTGTGCATCTTTCCGTCCCAGGGCCTACTCCACCGCCTCCCCACGGGGGCCCACGGTAAACCCTCACTTCATGAGTTACTGTGTTCCTTCCCCGTGGAGTTACTCTACAGCGCTGAGCACGGGGGATACCGAGGTAAACCAGAAAAAGCCCCTGCCCTCGGCAAGTTTACAGTCTAAGGATGGAGACAGAGCCATCAGGGAAGAGCAGGAATGAGGCAACGCTGGACAATGCTAAGTGCCAGGAGGCAGAGATCAAGGTGCTGGGAGGAGTGTACCGGGTGGGACAAAAGCAGAAGGGGCCTTGGGCAGTGCAGTAAGCAGAGCTCTGAAGGATGAAAGGGCCCTTCAGGAAAAGGCACAGGGAACAGCAAGTGCTCCTTCAGTAGCTGCCTAGTGACTCCCTGCTGCTGAACTGTCCCTTCCGTTCTCGAGAGCAGAAATCATCTTTCTGAAGACACCAGCCCGGTACCACTTTCTGGCTTCAATCCCTCTGCGCTAAGTGCTTTATGTACACTGCCTGAACTAAAACTCTCCTATAAACCCATTTTACAGATGAGAACACTGTAACTGAGAGTTCTGTCAATAGCCCAAGGTCGTACATACAGTAAGTGTAGGGAGAAAGGGTCTGCTAGTGTTTCTAAAACTTTCCCGTGCAACTATAATGAAGCTATATTAGCTATAGTATATGTGCATACACACATGTATACACATATACATATAGTATGACAGTTGATAAAAACGCACACTGCTAGGTCCCCACCCCAGACCCCTGAGGGGAGAGATGGACACCTACATTTTTTTTATTGTTCTGGGGCGGGGGGGGGGGGGGGGGGCGGGGTTGATCAGGCCCTTGGCCATCATTGCACTGTGCAGCGCTGCTTCCTGAGCAGCAGAGGGCGCTCCAGGCCGCCCCCGGGTGACCACAGCTCAACCCAGGCCCCAGAGAGAGGAGGGTCCCTTCTCAGGAGCCTGGACGCTGCTCAATGCCACTGCCACTTCGCCCGACCTCACCGAGCTGGAACGCAGACGGTGCCCCACCCCGCGCAGGCGGGGTTCGAGGGCAGCCGCGTCCGGGGCCCGTGAGGCCGTCAGGTTCCAGGTGCGTCCCACTGCAGGTGCCTCCCAGGCCTGGCGGCCCCCCGGCGGCTCCCCTGCAGCCCTCTTACTTGGCATAGTACACCCAGCCGTCCTTGGTGGTTCTCTGCTCCCAGCCCAGGGGCAACTCGTCCTCGCTGTCCGTGTCGTCCAGGCCCGCATAGCGCAGGGCTGCCATGGCGGAGCTGGGTCACCCGTGCAATCAGCCGCCCGCTACCGGGACTCACGCCCAGAAACTCCCGCTTCAACCGAGCACCGCGCGCGTCCAGACCCAAACGCTCGCGCCTGCGTACTGCGCCGCCCAGAGCCGCTCAGCCGATCCGGTAGCTGGAATCCGGTTTCCGGAATTTACTTTGCTGGCAGGGTAAAAGGGGCGGGGCCTGAGAAGAACGGTAGTTAAGAGTGCCGAGGAGATGGCACTGCCACTCAGCTAGAAGTAAAATCTGGAGAAGCTCCAGGACTGTGGGAATGGAGCTGAGCCTCGTTATCACTCCGGCCGCAGGGAAGGGGAGAGGACATCCAATTAGGGCCCAGGACTTCGCACGTTGCTGGGCGACCCGTAATCACGTCCGCATTATCCTGACCAATCCTAGAGGTGCTCTTGCAAGTGGGCATCCTGGGAAATGTAGTTCAGGCCCAGTCAGACTACAGCGGAGCAGAAAGGGTGGCTCAATGCTGATATTATGGAGTCTCGCCTGTTCTTGTTTTAAGACGTTTGAAAGAGTGAATCTTCCTGCTCAGAAAGCTTCCTTCCAGCGCTTTCCATCACTCAGGCTGATTCACAAAGTTAGTTATGCCTGTGTAAACACAAATTATAAAACTTCAGGACTGTTAAAAATTCATTCACTCATCTGATTAACCATTCTTGCAGAAAACTCTTACAGCCAGAGCATGGTTCTGTTGATTTAAAAAAAAAAAAAAAAAAAAAAAAAAAAAAAAAGGCTAACGTTTCAGAATTATTTATCTGCCCTGATCTGTTTGTCTCAGTGGAATCAAGGGTCCCAGATTCGATTCTGGTCAAGTGCATGTACCTTGGTTGCAGGCACATCCCCAGTAGGGGTGTGAAGGGGGCAGCTGATCCACATTTCTCTCTCATGATGTTTCTAACTCTTTCTCCCTCTCACTTCCTCTCTGTAAAAAATCAATAAAATATATATTTTTAAAAAGAATTATTTATCTGCATAAGCCTGATTAAACTAATAGAGCACCACATCTTATGCTTCTTTCTATCACTAGCAGTTAGTAAAATGCCTAGACCAGGAGTGGAGAATCTCAGGCCTGCGGGCAGTGTAAGGCCTAGGGAAATAATTTGGTCTGGCCCTGTCAATTCATTAGGGTGAGTTAATTAAATGTTTGACCAAATATAGCAGGCTAATTTTTTTAATTGATAATTCTGTAGGTTCGGGAATTATCAAATGGCTCTTGGCAGAAAAAAGGTTCCCCACTCCTGGCCTAGGCCAGAGTCAGCAAACTTCAGCTTGCGAGCCACATGCAGCTCTTTGGCCTCTTGAGTGTGGCTCTTCCACAAAATACCACGGCCTAGGAGAGTCTATTTTGAAGAAATGGGGTTAAAAGAAGTTTAAGTTTAAAAAATTTGGCTCTCAAAAGAAATTTCAATCGTTGTACTGTTGATATTTGGCTCTGTTGACTAATGAGTTTGCCAACCACTGGTAGACCAACAGTTTTATTAAGTGAAATGAACAAATGAATGAATGTGATTCCTTAGGTTTGGCCTTCTATAAACCTAATTTGAAACAAAATTTCAAATTTACAAAGTGGATGTTCTAAAATCCTCCTGGAGTTCTTATAAGTATCCTTTAATGTCCTGTGTCAAAAACCAGAAGCATATCTTCAACTTGATCTCACCCAAGGCATTTTCCATTTTCCTTGGATCTTGCTACACAGGCCAGCATTACAAGGAAATTTACTGACCATGATTTCTCTGGCCTACATCACCAGAGGAGTGCAAGTCTCCTTCAAAAGAACTACCTATTTTAACGGAGAGGGTGGTGATCAGTCTAGCTTTTAGTTTTCTTCAAGTCCTAAAACTGATATTCTTTGTGGTTCTTGATTTACATACTCTTTAGAAGACTCACTTTACTTTGAAAAAAACAAAAGCTAACTTAATGAAAGCATGTTTTCATTTTAACACTTAGCATTGGCCTCTATCTCATCTCAGACCTATGTAAACATCACTCTTTCCAAATATGCGTGCATTTAAATAAGCTACCATTAAGTTGCTGCTCTTTTGTTCACCCCAATTTAACTCCTTGCCCCTGTCACCCAAGCCAATTTATTCCTTTGGTAGGTATGAATAGGAAATTAAGTGACAAAGTCCCCAAATGGTAAGGGGCAGGGGGGTGAATGGGATCAAACTGATTAGCCTCCGTTTCTCTGCTTAGTTTCTCAAGGACTGACTACTTAGATTTTTATTTTGAGTTACCCTCACCAGAACCTCTACTGGCACCTATTGCCTGTGACTTGGCACAAAGGTAGGGTTAGAATATGGTATCTTCCCCACAATGGGTAGTGGCCCACATGGTAGAATTCTCAACTTTTGGGCCAACCCTCTGCTCTTCCCACCACTTTAACAATTCCCTCTCTGCTACTCCTGCCATGGACATCAGAGTTCTCAAACCTCTGCATTAGTGATGTTTAGGGTCAGGTAAGTCTTTGTTGTGGGGCACTTTCCTGTGCAGTGGAGGACATTTAGCAGCATCCCTGGCCTCCACCCACTAGATACCAGTATGTCTCCCTTCCCACAGCTGTAACAACCAAAAATGTCTCCAAACATTGACAACTGTTCCCCCTGTTGAGAACCACTTATCTACACTGACAATTAATCAGGAAATTACTAACTCGTAAATCAAGTATTGAAAAGCCCATTTTTGGCCAGAGATTCATAGGTGGTATTCAAACACTGCTGGTTCTGATTGCTGAGTTCTCCAGCCTTGTCTGAGAGCACCTGCTACTCCAATTCCTTGTTCATCAGATGAGAGACTTGAACTGACAAAAGTCTGGCTGGGTGGCCCAGACACCAATAATAGTCCCAAATGGTTGTAATAACCTCAGTTGATCCCTCTCTTCCCATGCTTTGCCTGTGGCCTCTTATCAGAAGGTTGAAGAAATAAGACATGTAGGCCTTTGGGGACTTGTTAGAGTGGGCATGCCAGATTTTAAAATTTGTGCCTTTTGAGTTTGCACAAACTGATACTGTTTAACTCATGCTGATTTGACTGAAAGCAACAGAGATTAATTCCAAAGTTTTTGACCATGGTGCACATGAGCTAAATTAATATAAGGGCCCGAGGGACCCAAGAAGAGGCCATTATTGGGGTGTGTGTGTGTGTGTGTGTGTGTGTGTGTGTGTGTTATTCTCTCGTGGATCTCATGGTCTCTTGCTCCCCATCTCCCTAGCTTCCTCTATTTACTCATAGTTTCTGTGCCCCTTTGACTTGAACTTACACATGGCTTTGACATTGGTCTTCCAAGGATCAACAAACCCTGTTTAACTTGTAAGATTATTATGAGTTTGAGAAGCCTTAAGTTTGGGAATGAGCTGAGGTCTTTAACATGAACCTCTAAGAAGACTAAAGAATGGTTTGTTTTTGTACAGTGAATTAAGTCACATGGATTACTGATGAGGTGGCTAAAAAAAATTTTTTTTTAAATTCACTGTGTGGTTATACAACTGCACACCAGATGGCCCTATCTGCCCATGCTTTTACAAGACTAAAGTCTAATTCCTGACAAGGATTTCTATGCTTAAACTGCCTTTTCTTCTTGATTGATACTTCTGCAACAACTGACAAGTGATGAGCATAAGGCTGATCAGTTTTTGCTGAAAGCAAATTGGCCTTTGTCATGGAGTGGGCACAAGTTTTAGAGGAACTTTTCTTTAGTTCATCATCACTACCACAATGATGGTCATTTCCCTCCCAATCAGACACACAAATAACCCAACAATTCTCAAAATCTATTTTAACTTAAGTCACCATTTCTTAGGAAATTAAGCCATTTGTTTTGCTGCCAAACTCACTATGCTAAGGAGACCTGGGAAGCTTCTTTGCTCTTCTGATAAACTTCTCGTGGAAGTAACCAAGAAGGAAGAATATTGAGTGGCATTCTTAGGGAAAACTCTCTCCCAGTCAATGTTACTTTACATAGGAAGTTGTGTTTGCATTTCACTTATTCGCTCAAACACACAATAAGTGAAAATAAAATTATGCTATGTCTCTGAGAAAAATCAAGGAAAATGAAACACCCCTGTATCTAAGTGTCAGTCAATTATGATAAAACCAACAATCCATAAGATACACTATGGATTGAGGCTTCTAAGAGAAGTTTGAACCAAGCTCTATAGTTATGGAGAGACAGTGGATGGTTTTCTGTGATTTACCATTGGAACCAAACTCAGCTAAAATGTGTGACAGTGGCCAAGACATTTAACTTTATCTGTTTCATTATCAACCCAATTTTTACAGATGACAAAACCAGAGCACAAGAAATTTAGGTCATTTGTCCAAGGTCACTTAGCAAGGAAGAGCAAGTGGGAGCTGGGACTGGAATCCAAACTTGGGTACTGCCCCCAAAATTCATCTTTTCAACCAAATGCCCTGTGGGCTGCATTTCCAGAAAGGAGGTTTCCAGTGCTGATCCTCAGTGGATGCCCAGGGGTTTTCACTCTCCCAGGGGAAAGAGAGAGAAATAAGGTAAAAGAAGTGAATTTTTCATAAAGTTAAATATATTCCACTTAAAGTACTGTCCTTCTATTTTCGGTGTGATTATACCTGTTCTGCTTTTATTTATTCTCTGACAACCTATTTTTTAACATATTTTATTATGAAAGACATATTTCAATCATCCAGAAAAGTTGAGAACGGTACAAATAATACTCATATCACCCCTCCCCATACACACACCTAGATATAACAGCCTGCTGTCATGTCTGCTTTAAAGAGAGAACCTGATTTCTTGAAACATTAGGAGAGTGCTTTTGTTATGCTCATTTTCCCATGAGCCACAAGGGGGCACTCTCACCTGGTGAGCTCATCAAGTCCACTGCAGTGACTTCGGAAATCAGACACAAGTCTAGAAATTTCAGATAAGTTTAATTTATATCTAAAGGCCTCATGTAGCTTTAGTGAATAATTGCTAACTTGACAAAATTCTTTTCCA